CTTTTCAGTGTCCTCAAGAAGCTTCACTCTGCATTCTTTCCAAGTGATATAGCTGTATTCAGTGGGAGAGACAGAGTGTACTTACTCCACCTTCCTTGGAATCAGAGTACCCGCCTCCTTTTTGTTCTAGTGATGTCATATATTTTCCTGAAATGTCAGTTGTAACTCATATTCTTGTTCACTTGTATTTAATGTCTTTGTTCTCCAATTGCTTTAGAGATTTTTCTCCTTAGCTTTAGTTTTAAACAGATGATCATGTGTACAGGTGTGATCTGCTTTGTAATCATTCTATTTGGGGGGTTTCTGACTTTCTCGGGTTTGTAAATTAATCATGGACTAATTGGAGGCATTGTTTCTTCCAATATTTTGGCAGCATATTCTTTCTCCTTTCTTTCTGAAACACTACCTGCACAGATATTAAAGAGCTCATAGATAACTGAGGTTAAAATTGATTTCAATTTCAATATTTTTTCTTACTGTTTGTACATTAGATAACTTGTCTTTAAGTCCCTTTCTCTTGGCAACTTCATTCCATGGTTATGCCCATTAAGTAAATTTTTTTCTTCAGAATTGTACTTTTTGGCTTTAGATTTTCATGTTTCTCGTGGCTTCCATTTCTCTACTGAGACTCTCTACCTATCTAATCATTGTTACCATATTTTCTTTTAAATACTTGAACTTTTTTTTAAAGATTTATTGATTTATTTATACAAGCACTGGGCACAGTCAGAAGCGCGGGAGGCTGAGAGAATTCACCAGAGCCAGAGGGGAGAGCAGAACAGACAGACTGACGAAATACACTGCTGAGGGGAGCAGTGGGCATGGCAGGAGAGGTCTACGTGCCATGTGGGACCCTCACCTGGTGGTGGGGGATCAAACCGGAGCTGCAGAGGCTACGGGCAACTTCACAACCCAGCACTCAACCCCTGCACCACCAGGGAGGCCCAATACTTGAACATTTTTAAGATTCACTTTAAAAGTTCTTCCTCTGGGTTTATTCATCTGCCCATCTTAGAATCATTTTCTTTTGACTACATTTCCACAAATATCTGCATACTTTTCTAACTTGCCTATTAATTTTTATTGTATACTTGACATTATTGTCTTTCTTCAGTTGGTAATTTTTTATTTTTGTAAATTTCTCTTGGCCTGTCTGTCTTTTGTTCTTTGTTAGAGAGTGTTATACAGGTTAACAACATTTTGGATTTTACATTAAGGCCTTTCTAGTATCTCAAATTGAATGCCTGGAGTGCTTAATGAGGTCTTTCCACCCCTCTGAGCTGGAACTCCAATGTCAACTCTGTATGACATGCAGTAGGCAATCTCTGCTAGGCTCTACAGAGTCTTGTCATGTCAGTATTCATCCCAGTTCTTGGTGACTCTCCAGACAATTTGTGGGGCCACACTTTTCACAGCTACCTAGTTTCAGATATGCTACCCTGCTGATTTTAGCTGCTTCAACTGCCCAAAACTCCATCTCTCCCTCCTTAATTAAGACTGCTATTTTGCTTGGGTTCTACTTTCTTGTACCCCCAAAAAAGTGCCCTTCTGCAGAAAAAAAATACAGGATAATTATGGGGTAGTTGTGGAGCATACCTTGTGATTCCTTTCTCTCAAAGACTGCTGCTACAAGCTGCCTATTGCCCGGTGTCTTGAAAGATTTGACTCATCATTTTGTTGAGTCTTAGAGATTTTTCAATAGAACAATAAATCAGATACCTATTACTCTCATACCTGGAGTCTTGGGTGCACATTAACTTAAATGCACACTGAGGTTTAAATCACTGATATTAAATTGTGTCAAAAAAACCCATTTCTGACAAAGAATAGGCAAGCTTATGATTAGCATACATTTTAGGAGTGATTAAAGTGGAAAGGGGCAATGTTTTAAGGACATCGTAAACTTCACATTTCAGACTATGTTGTTATGTATATGATACTCTTAGTTGGACAGACTTCCTTTAATGTTATATATACTACATATTCTAAGTTTTAGTCTAATGTTTTGTCTTTTTATAGTCTAAACTTTAATGAATATATTTGATTTTGTTATCTGAGAATATATACTCTGTGTTGTAATGTATATGATATTTGTAGACTTAGAAAGTTTAAAGGATATATAGCAATATTTTTTCCTTTCCTATCCTTGACCTGTTCTGTTAATACAAAATGTTCTCTTAAGATCGCTGAATCTAAGTTGGAGATACTGGGGAACTTTGAATCACTGGTTAGTGAGCTAAATTGGCCTTAAGAAGAAGCCAGTTCAGACTGAAAGACAAATGACTATTTGGTTGAAGAAGCACTCCATTTTTAAAGGGTGGAGATGGTTTGGTAGTAAATTAGTTCTCTCCCTGCCCTGGGAGATTAGACAAACAATAGATCTAACTAAGAAAATAGACTGACTCATTTGGCTACAATGCTATACTGAAGTTACAGCAAACTAACAATCCCCAGAAAGAGGATTGGGTTCTGTATACTGTAAATGAGTTTTACAGTCAATACTGAGATTTCTCATTGAAGAAACCACAACTCAAAAGTTAAAATCAGAGATCCAAAGTCACGCTGCACCCTGTCTCCCTTTGCCTGATCATGTGCTAGAGCAAGGCTGAAATAACACTTCATGACTTATTAACTCTTCTTTAGGATGGTGGTGGTATCATTATTATCGTCATTACAAAAGTGAGGCTTGCAATAGCCTTCTTTCCTTCTAATTTTCTTGAGCATTTCCCAGTTTCCTCTAGGAGTGAACACAGTATCATCAAAGCGAGGTACAGATGAGGAGAGAGGAACGTCAGAACTGTTGGGGAGGAAGAGAAATTGTACAGGGCTAAGGAATAGGTCATAAGTGAGCAGGGGTGGAGGATGGTGGAAATGGAATCACAGATCTGGAAGAGACTAGTCATCTGGTCCAGACTGTCTCAAGACAGGTCAGGAAGGGGTGTTTGGGTGGACCTTGTTTTACATTTGGATTTCACTTCTCTTAAACTTTTTCAACCTTTTGCCTTTCACCAAGCCTGATTTCGTCTTTGCAAGTCATTGGCACATCTCCTGCCCTAGGATGCAGCCCGTTAGAGTGCATGTAATTACTTTTGGGGATGAACCGTTCTTTTTCCAGGAGGTCTGTTTCAGGTTTAGGTCATTCCATTGGCCTCACCAACAGAAGAGCAGATCTCCTGGCCATTCAGTAATTCCCTGGGCGGAGAGGAAGGGCCTCTAAGCTGATGGTCACACTTCCCATTTTTCTAACTCCCCTCAGCTGGGAGGACACAATGTGCTGCGGTGGGTGGAACTGTGAGTTGAGGATTTTTTGGGGTAGTTTCAGGTCTCATTGTCTAAGAGAGAGGCACACAACTGCTCACCTCTCTCCACATCCACATCCACACCCCTACTTTATTCGCTAGTAGAGATGCAGTTTTGGCAACTCAGGGTTCCTCTGGGGCCACCCATGTTCCACGTGTCTGGCTTTACCTTAAGAGACTGTGGACAATGGAGGGCGGAAGTAAATTTTAGCTAATTGTCCTTCGTGCAGGCAAGAGGTGTATGACATCAGCGTGGAGAGGTAAATGAGATGTTTTTTGCTATTCGGTGCCTCTCACATCACTCCCCGGGCCCCCACCCTCCAGCCCAGCTAGCGCACGCACTGAGAGCAGAACCGCCCCCCACACACTGCCCCGCGCCCTCCCTGCCCCTCCCTCGAAACCAGCACAGAACAGAACTTCCCCCGGGTCGTGGCCCAGCGATACGGAGCGGCCCTGGCGCTGCGCCCTGCTTTTCCCCGAGTCGTGGGTGGCGCGGTCCATGTTTCCCTCCCCTCCCTTTCCGGACCGAACGGGGACGTATCTGGGTCAGCCTGGGAGGGGCCGGACCTGCCGGGGACCAGCGGGGGTGGGCTGGGGGGTCTGCGGGGGGACGAGGTGGTGATGACGGCATCCTTCAGGTTTCTGGCGTCGCAGAGGTTCCCTGGTCCAGCGCCTCGCTGCGCTCACCCCCGGCGAAGGCTGGTGCTCGGGCCGTCCAGGCCCGGGGAGTCGGGGCGTGGGGGGAGAGACCCCGTCCTTCCTATCTGAGCGGCCACCCCTCCACGCCCTGCGAACAATGCGGCGCCCACCCCCACCCGCACACATTCCGCATCTGCCAAGACACGCTCCCCAGGCGGCGGGTCCCTCCGCCCCAGGAAGAGAGCAATGGAACAGTTCACGGCCGCCGCGAGTTCCTGGTCTTCCTTCCTTTCCGGTGATAAACGGCGGGGCTGCGAGCCAGTTGCTGCTCAAGATGCTCCACCCGCGGGCCTGAACGCCTCTCTCTCTCTCTCTCTCTCTCTCTCTCTCTCTCTCTCTCTCTCTCTCTCTCTCTCTCCAACCCCCTCCCTTCCTCCCGCTTGCTCGCTTGCTCTCTCAGATCTGTGGGGGCCCAGCTCCAGGATCCAGGGTCCTTGCACCTCCCCAAAGCGCAAAGGTTGGGCGCTGGGGTGGCGAGAGGCTTCCTCCCTGCCAGCACCGAGGAATCAAGGCCACAGGTCTCCCCCTCCCCGAGGGCTGACCCCTCCCTCCCCAACCTTGCCCTGCAAAGACCCCGCAGCTCCCAATTGCCAAGTGCTCGAGCTCTTCCTCTCGGCGTCAGGGAGAGGAGCGGGGCAATGAGTTGAGAATCATTTCTGGATTCCTGCATCCTGCACACAGAGAGCGCCTCTTCTCTCGCGTCTCCCCACACGGCACGCTCGGAGACTCCTGCTCGCTCGCCGAGGGCAGTCTCGCCTAACTGCAGCGCGAATTCCTGGGGCTGGCGCCCACGGAGGATGCTCTTTGGCCAGGAGCTTCCCGAAAGGTGCCTGCCTCCCCCGGGGCTGGAGGCCACGCGGAGGCGCACCTCCTGCCCCGCCTCGCCGCACCCCCAGACATCTCTTGCCATCATCTCTCCCACCCTTGTCTAAAGCCCCGCGCCCCCCGCCCCCGCTGCCGGGCGCAGCGCCCCCTCCCTCGGCTGCGCCCGGGCGGGGAGCTGAGCGGACAGGGGCGCGCGGGAGGCGCGCAGAGCTCTCCGGCTGCCCGCGCTCGCCACGCCTGGGGAATTGGCTGTGGGCGAGGCGGCCGGAGCTGGCCTTTATCGCTCGCCCCGCTGGTCGTTTGAAACTTTATCAGCGAGTCTCGCCACTAGCCGCAGACGCGAGCGGGGGGCGGGGGCGCGGCGAGGCGCCGGCGGCCGTGACTAGGCGCTCCCGGCGCTGAGCGCTTCTGCTCCGGGCACGCATGGCGCCCGCACACGGAGTCTGACCTGATGCGGACGCAAGGGGGTTAATATGAACGCCCCTGTCGGTGGAATCTGGCTTTGGCTCCCTCTGCTCTTGACCTGGCTCACCCCTGAGGTCAGCTCTTCATGGTGGTAAGTCCTCGCGCGCAGGGCGCAGGGGGATTTTGGAGATGGGATTGGGGACACCGCTGACCACATAGACCCTTCCAGACGGCGCTTCGCGGAGGCCGCTGCTGCTGCGGGTTCTGGCCTGAACCCGGGCTGCTGCCCTCTCCTATTGCCCTAACCCGAGCTCCTTCACTTTTCCACGAAAGACCATTTTAGCTCTGACAACTAGGGAAAAAAAATAATAATACCACTTACCCACATCACCCCCTCAAATGAGAGCTCAGATGTTTGGTTTATTTGGATCTAGCTAAGCGACAGCAAAATCAAAATCAGCCAATTTCTTATCCCATTGAGAGACGCACTGACTGGGTCTCTAGCAATGGTGTGTGAGTGTGTGTGTGTGTGTGTGTGTGTGTGTTCGTTCACCTTGAAACTACACCCCCCCCAAAAAAAAATTGCCATTGCAGGCAGTCAAGAGCTGTAGAAGCCAAAGCGTGTGATTTCTGCATTATTTCCCGTCCTTCCACATTCCTAATGCTTCACCCCAGTGGGGCAGTGCATTTGCTGCCTCCAGGTACAGGGGAAGTTCCAGAGCTAGAGGCTCTAAAAGATTCCGGTTAAAATCCATTCAACCCAGGGTAACTTTGCTGCTGTCCTTTGTACATAGGTGTGCGATTTATTTAGGAAAGTGAAGGCACGTTGAAATGTAGCAGGTTTTAGCATCGTGACAAGTCCAAGGGGAGGTAGAGAAAAGTTTCTGGGTGGGAGAGATCTAGCTCCCAACCTTATCTTGAAAAATAGGCAATTGAGAGCTTTGTAAAGTCCTTGCATCTAGAAGTTTCTGAAGATAATTGAAGTACTGATTCTGAAAGGCTGTCCTCTGAGTTGATTTTAAAGAATCTGGCAAAAGTAAGGATTCTCAGCCAAATGAAGGACGAGAGCAGGGAACTCCAGGAAGACACCGCAGCTCTTCAAGGCAAAGCGTTGATGGGAAGAGCATATTCAATTCCTTCCTAAGCCACTTTGAACAGGAAGGCATTTAGCCTTGACACTGCTGACACAGGATCAAAGATTGATTTATCAGAGTAACTATTTTTCAATAAAATGACTATTTCTGTTTCCATGGGTGTATAAACATTATTTATTACTCAGGCTTTTTGTCACATTGTCTCTCAGCTGTCACTTAAATATATTTTTTGGAAGTCACAGCTGTAACGATTTTATGATCATAGAAAATAATGAAAATACAAGAAAAAGACATTCTCCTTATTTGATCGCTTCAAAAGACACCTATGGCAGCTTGGGTTATATAAAAGGTACCTTTCTAAACATTTCACAACTAATAGAGAACATCTGGGTAGAGATGATGATGTAATTTTTTGTTAAAGTTTCTTTTCAAAAGTACTTTATGGAGCTATAACACTGTTTGATTCTTCCAAACATTTAGTGTCCTTAATAACAATAGAATTTTTTTCCAAAGGCTTTCTATCAAAGCCAAAAAAGAGCTGCAAAATGGAAATATTTAAAGGATTCTTTAGTAAGGGAAGAATGGCATGGCCGTGAAGACAGTGTCACATCAGATACCAGCAGGTGTTGATTAGATAAATACGGACAGTTTCCTAAGACACCTAAACATTAGGTCCAATAAATAGGAGCTGGGAACTTCTAAAGGTCAGCGTCCCCTGAAGCCAAGTTCAGACACGTTGTGTCATGGAGAGCAGAGTTTTGGGGCAAAGTCTTTAACTCACTCTTCCCCAGACACATTGCTTCTTCCCCCTTATTCTGTTGCCTGACTTCAGACCTTGCTTCTGCTAAGTGCCCAGAGCATCATCTGGTGGCCCTGGCCTCATGTGCAAGAGCCAGACGTATCTACAGAGCTCTTCTACCCCGTCACTCTCCCTGCCTGACTTGCCAATAAAATTAAATTACCTTTGCTTTCTCCCATCACCGAAAGGAAAGGAATTAATATTTCCAAAGTGCTTTCAACTCTTGGGGCTCCTGGAAAACACCAGGCCTCACTGTTCAAGGTGCTCTCACTTCTGTGGGTCCTTCCCAGGTACATGAAAGCTACAGGTGGCTCCTCCAGGGTGATGTGTGACAACGTGCCAGGCCTAGTGAGCCGCCAGCGGCAGCTGTGCCACCGACACCCGGACGTGATGCGTGCCATTGGCTTGGGCGTGGCGGAGTGGACAGCGGAATGCCAGCACCAGTTTCGCCAGCACCGCTGGAACTGCAACACCCTGGACAGGGATCACAGCCTCTTTGGCAGGGTCCTGCTCCGAAGTAAGTCTCCTGCCCTCCTGCAGCAAAACATGCTCTCCCTTCCTGCATACCTCCTTTTCCTTGGTCAACAAAGCCCCTGTTCATGTTTCCTTCATTCAGTCTGAAACTTGTTCTGTTGGGTAGCATCGGCCCTGATCACATAGTACTAGAGAAATCAAGGGACTTATCTAAAAGGTTGCAGGAGGCTGATCACAAATTGTGATGTAGCCCAAGCTGGTGTCTTTGCACTCTTTGCTCTTTCCATCTGTCACATGTCACAAACTGACTGTCCTCCAGGTTCTTATTTTGGCTCTAGGAGGAAACAGGCAGAAGATTCTTTTGATTTGTTTTACTCTTCTGAGATTTGAATCTTCCAAAAGGATTTGAGCAGAAGATCAGGATGGAACGCCCATATCTTTTATTGTCCATAGATGGTCATTATCACCAAACACCATCTGAGTGTTATTTAGCAGCAGAAACAAATCTGCTTCTATGCAGATGACCTTGATTCAACTACTCAGCCATAGATCACTCCATGTCTACTTCAATGCTTTTTTCAATAGGTTGTAAATTCTATGAGGCAGAGCCTAGCCAGTCTTCCCTGCACCTCACTTAGTGCCTTGATTGTTGCAGGCACTGTTTATTCATTGAATGGCTGAGTGAATGAACAAATGGACTTATAGAGTGTCAGGTACAATATAGGCAGAAGTGTAGGGTTAGGAACCATGAATACATATATTTTATTTTTTTCTTAGAAGGAGCATTAAACACTATCTAATTATATAATAAACCTCTTGAAAGTTCTGAATAAGGAAAGCAGCTCACTAGCTGATGGATAATCAGAGAAAATTAATTTAAAACTAGATTTTATTTAAAAAATACCTATCACTTAATCTGGCATTATTAACACAGTGAGCTTGGCATTATCTTCAAGAAATAACATGACCCATTTGTTCTTGGGAAGTCTGACGGAAAACACAAGAATTTATGTGTGAACCCCAGAAACAGGAAACTTTACAGTTGTTTTTTGCCCCCTCCCCCCACCCATTCCTAAGAAAATCATTCAAGCTATGCACTTGGTAATACTTAACAGAGGGTGTTTCTATCATGTAATCATCACAGCCCTAGGGTTTTATGAGGCCAAATGCATAACTGAATGTCTCTAAAATCCCCCAAGGGCGTAGTACTCTCACTCTTCATGTATCCCTAAAGTTAATTTACTGTGATATTCAGCAATTTTATTCTCTAGTTTAAGAATTATATTCTTCTGCATTCCTTCTGGAGTTTCAATATGACACTGCAAATTTTTGAAAGATTAATAGTTAATTTCAGCTACGTGGTACTTTAAGATTTCACCTACATTACTCACTAGTGAATCAGTTAAAGTGCTTTGCAAATACCTAGAACAAGTAATCTTTGGATGTATTATGTATAGGTGTTCAGTGATTAAGATGTATTAGGATTTTTCTTTGTTAAAGTGCTCACAATCATTTTACAATGTCACAGATTAAATGTATTTCTCATTTATAGAATGATCACCTTTAGAATCTAAGAAAACTCATTAAGATGTCTTTGCCTTTAAAAAAAAAAAAAAGCACTTTTAGGTAACAAATCAAAGGAACCAAATTTGACCACTGATGCTTAAAACAGTGGATCTGTGAAAACTGAGGATTCATTCATGAAATATTTTAGCTTAATCTTGGCAATATTTGCTTCTTCAGAATCCTAGAGTTGCTAAGAGGTCAGAGGTTAGAACTAGATGAAACAGAACTAGTTAGATTTAGTCTGGCACCTCAGGTAAATAAGGGATTCTGAATTCTCATACTTCCTTCAGATTTCTTGCAGATGAAGCTGAATACTTTGCCAAAGTACTCAAAACTTAAAACATTCATGCTACACAATTTCTTTCCATTCTTTACAGAAGGCCAGATTTCTTCCTGGACTTTTATGTAAACTCCTGTGACTGTCAGCGATGATTTTGTGTTGGTTATAGGAGGGCTGATTTGGCCTAATGTAGCTTATCCTGGAAATAATCATGAAATTCCAATGAAACTATCCAAAGATTTTTACAATTAATTGCTTTGAGGGAAATTCACATCTAAAGTTGTGTAGAACTTTCCTCTGGACATCTAAATGACCTTATCAGTGAATAGGAAAGGCAAAGGGCAATACCGCTTATAGGAAAAACATTAAGTTACTGATACATCCATGGTTGCAGAGAAATGGAGAACATTTGTCTCCCTTGCTCAGAGAGTTGGAGTAAGACGGAACAATTTTTTTGGAACATTTGTAATTCACTCATTCAATGGACTGTCACCAGTCACAGGCGGAAAAACCTGCGATGGAATTTATAATCCCCAAAATATTGCTGTAAGAATATACCTCCAGAATTCTAGGAAAAGCCTTAAAAAATAAAAAGATGACCTGTTCTCATCCTTGAAAACGTCAAAGGGGCAAAAAAGACATTTTCAAAGGGAGTTGAACAACCCCATAACCTTCTAGAAGCCTCGCCTCTAGTTTTTACCCTCTTAGGCAACAGTCCCCCACACCAAACAAAAACTATGCCTGTGAACTTAGTAGACATTTCTTGACTTATCTCAATCCAAAAATTAGAAACTTTAATAGTAACACATCAGAAAGTATAAACATCACCATTTAGATTAGGATTTTGTTTCATTTTGTGATGACTTTAAAAGGAATCAGTTTTTCTAAGAAGAGGCCCAAGATCAAAATTTGTTTTGTTACAAAGCCAACACTTGAAATGTGCTACTATTTCACACATAGCAGTTTAGTGATTCATCTAAGATGCTTAACTGAAAACATCTTAAGGCTCCATCTACACAATACCAAAACATCTGGAGGTAAAATATAAAGTCATTCAATATGCTACATTTTTAATTTAAATAAACAACTATTTAGTAAAGTGCTTGAATAATGAATGACAAATATTTAGAAAGGTATATTTTTGTTTTGGAATTTTTCTCTGAAATGTAGATTTTAAGCATTTTTTTTCATTCAATCAAAGTCAATGTTAATTGTTTGCAGGATGAATTTTGAACCTAGACAAACTCTTCCTCTACTGCTTTCAAAATACTGTCCACTCATTGACTTTCTATCATCCATATCTTCTATACCTTTGTCCTAAAAGACCACCTCACAAAATTTCTTTTTCCTTAAAAAAATAAACTAGTGCTAAATACATACACATTCCAGAGTTTTCCTCTACATCATATCTCTCAATCAGGCACTGGATACCAAATCCAAAGCCAGGCTTTAGCTGATCAATGGTAAAACTCTATACAAGGTATTTTCCTCAACTGCAAAGTAGCATCATAAAAGTTTTACTTATCCAAAAGCCGCTACCTGAGATTATTTCACACGCACATCCATTAGTTACCTTCATCTATAAAATGTCTCAATTCTGTTTAGAAAACTCTGATCCTTATAATCTGGGGCTCTTTACAGCAGGCCCAAGGCCATCACATTTCTCTCTGGAGAGTGCTACCTGCTACCTGTGGCAAATATTCATATAATTGATTTTACCTAACTGCAAGCATGATTGATTCCTTTTTTGATGGTTCGAGGTTTGGGGGAGATATTTTTTGAAGGCTGAGGTAAGTGCCATTTAATATGGTGTAGATATGTTTTCCTGATTTTTAATAATGAGACTAGCAGAGGAAATATTGCAAGGGATGTATAGTAAATTTTAGCACTGAATGACAAACGGAAACAAGCAGGGCTTCCAGACGAAAAGGTGGTTTGTTCTCCCAGCTGTGTGGTTCAAAAAGTCACACTCGTCTTGACATACTGAATCGCAAATGGCTATTTTCTGCTTTGCATTGGCATTAGGTTGTTCAGCTTCTACTTTGATTGTTAATATTTTTGCTGCAGCAACCAATAATAAAAAGGCATGCTAATAACAATGAAATACAGCTCCACTTGAAAAATGAGGTGCACACGGACCCTACAGAGCCTTATATCTGTCACTATACCACAACACTGTGTTATGAGTTACTACAGATTATTAAAATAATTTAATGTAGTTATTGCTCTGAAATATGTACCTTTCAGCCTGTAAGTGAAAGTAGCCTGTGCTCTAATAAAGAACAATTCTAGGCAAGCACCCCAAAGGGTTCTTACCCAAGTCTAATTATAGGCGGTAAATTTGTTTCCTTCCAGAAAAACCAAAGAAAAGCTTTTCACTGTCTTTTACCCAATACCAGTGATTAGTGCAGGTGTTCCAGAAGAAAGTGAATTCACCTTAATAGTTAGACGTTGTATGTAACTCAAGGATATTGCAGGCTGCCTTCAACAGTCTCTCACTTACTTGTGAAAGCTGATGCCATGCCAAAGCACAGCGGTGTTTATGCGCAGGCTGCTCACCACCTGAGTTCTTTCTCACCTCAGCCCCTAGATGCCTTTGAATGCAGTATTTCACTCTCAAACATTCAAATGGATACACACATCCTTGGTGTTGCCTGGAGGCTTGGAAGCTTTGGGGTTTTTTGGTTTCCCAAAGATTGCTGAACACCAAAGTATGTTGTGAAATGATGCTATTGTGATTCTGACTGTAGATCACAAATGAAGGCACTGAGGACCACTGATGTTAGTCTCCTCTCTTCTTGGGCATGTAGGATTCTAGGTGAGAGCAATTCTAGGTGAGTACGTGTGTGAGACTAAGGTGAAGGAGGCCAGGGCAGGTTTTTGCTGCCTTTTCGATTATACGATTTACCTCGAAGACCGTTGTCATACACTTGTCCTGCTGACAAAAGCTTGTATTAGATGGACATGATTCATATTCAGGAAAGCACCTTGGCTCTAGAAGACAACCCTTCAAGAATACCAGAACCTTTGTGTCCTGGGGTGAAGCACTGGGGAGGCAGAGCAGGCCTTCACAGCCATCGCTTGCAGTTATTCAGAACTAGCAATTCCAGACCATTTTTAAGAAAAGCATTTTTGTTTCAGGTAGTCGGGAATCTGCCTTTGTTTACGCCATCTCCTCAGCTGGAGTTGTATTTGCCATCACCAGGGCCTGTAGCCAAGGAGAATTAAAATCCTGTTCCTGTGATCCAAAGAAGAAGGGCACCGCCAAGGACAGCAAGGGCACTTTCGATTGGGGTGGCTGCAGTGATAACATTGACTATGGGATCAAGTTTGCCCGAGCATTTGTGGATGCCAAGGAAAGGAAAGGAAAGGATGCCAGGGCCCTGATGAATCTCCACAACAACAGAGCCGGCAGGAAGGTATGGACTGCAAGGGGGCTCGTTTCGTAGACTGCATGGCGTTATAGAGCACTTAAGCCAAGCTTATCTTAAACTCCTAGAGCAGATAAAATGCGATCTACTCACAACTTCCCACTGTCTCCCAACCCAGAGCTGTTTGTTCTAAAGAATACCACCAACTGGGCTAAAATATCCCCACCCGCATTCCACCTTCCTTCCCACAGCTGAGTTGAAGGAGTCCACCCATTGCTTTTGGCAGGTAGAGCCAAGTGTTTGTAGTCCCTCTGGACACTGTATCATCTAGACAGAAGGTCTGTCTGGGGCCTAGAATAGTGCTTCATCCCACACCAATGGCACATTGAATGCTTGTATCTAAGGGATGTCAAGTCTCTTGAGCATCTTCTCTCAAACTCATCGTGAAAGCAACTCACAGGCATGGCTTGTCAGCTTCTTCTAGATTAAGGCAAGGTCTTTTCAGAATTAGTCCCACTCTCCCTCATAAAAACTCATCCAGTTCCAGAAACCACAAGGTGGGGTAAGTGGATCTGGGGAAGACATGATCCCAAATAGGGACACTGGCCCCTTGTTCTCTAGTCCTGGCAAACCTCCTGGTCTGTGGGGATCCGGCCAGTCATAACTCTCTACTCCCCATTTGTTAGATGAGAAAACAGGTGCTCATGTGCTCAAGAACACCCAGAGAGTCCGTGGAAAAGTCAGGAATGGAACTCAGGTCTTAACTTCTCTTCCAGGGCTGCTATCGCCCAATATTAAACAGTTTCTAGTCCAGTGTTCAGATCCATCAAGACATGCCTTTCTGCAGGGTGGTGTGACCAGAACAACTGGAGAATCTGAATGCTGTACATTATGCTTTGTTTAAAGCATAAACTGGCTGGGCTAATCAAATATTTTTTCAGAATCATTCTAGAATAATCTAATTACTAATGGAAGAGATAACCATAATTGTGCTTAATCAAGAAGCACCAAGTAAAAATGTGCTTGATATTAATATATAAAGATCAGCATAAAATTGAAGATCCCCTGGGGGTCTTTTAATAGGAAAAATAAAAAGAATGCAGATCTGTTTGGATGAACACCCTTTTACTAGGCTCAGGAAGAGAGCAAATTTCATTTAAAGAAGTTGAAAGGAAAGAATTCTTGCTTAGCACTCAGAATAAGATGAGTGCGACCTGAACTGTTTACAAATAGTAACTTGCTTGAACTTTAAAAATCAACATTCCTTATTTTTATGAATTTATGAACTTACAGTGACTATTGCCAAGACTATAGACTGTGGTTGTGCAATCCTACAACTATTGGTAATTACTGTTTGTGCAATGGTTTGGATTAAAACAATTTACATTGACCTTTGTTTTGACATTGATACCGCATGTATAAGTTATAAAGTGTGGTGTCTTTGAAAGGAGTGTGCTGCTTAATTATTCAAGCGGTGAATCTTAGATGTCTCAGACTATTTATTGAGATAAAGACATATGGTCATATACTGTACCGAAAGAACGTTGACTTATCAAAATAAATGTTAATTTGGCTTAATAGGTCATTAGATAGTGAATGTTTCAACTCTTCAAGACAATAGAACTTAGCTATTATACTGTAGGTCCTGAATAAACATGACTTTTAATGTAAATCACATGATTCCTCACTATGTAGAGGTGAACAGCTGTCAAGCCTCAGATATTCTCCTGCCTACTCTGCAAAACTTAGGAGGCTACTTTTGATTGGAATAAAAGTGCACACACTGACTTTTTAAAATGTGGCTTTAATTAATGGTGGGTGGGCAGACTTTTTCAAGGAGATGCATGATGTCAGTGAATATGAACTTTAATGAGAGTAAATGTATTGAGATAAACATGCGTCTCTAATTCTCTTCTTGCGGTCATTAGACCCCAGTCTCTACTCCCCCTTTGTACCAGCAGAAGGTCTGTGGAATCAAAATGAGAACAGGCTGGGCTTGCGTTTGAAGGCAGGCCTCCTGAGCTAAGTTTCCAACTGGCCTGGCTCTAGAAAACTCCAGTCTCCCAGCACTGACAGCAGCATCAGTTCTTTTTTTATTTTCTTTTTTGTGTTTTTCAGTATTTCCCAAATTATCCAATATGAACATATTCTACTTTTAAAATTGGATCAGTGGGCCAACATATTATACTTGAAACAAAAATCATGTATTCCAAGATTACTCTGACTGATGCTGTAAGTGCTTAGTATTAATATATAATTCAACACAACCATTCACAATGGGTTTTAATTTTGCCTTAATATGTGAACAGTTTAATTCATTTATGATAGTAACTGGTTAGAGCACCCTCATGTGTCTCTGTACTGTAATATCATTTTAGATTCTGTGCTGTTACATCATTTAATTTTAATCACAGCTTCAACAGAATTTGTGTTGCAGCTTTCCTTCATATTTACTTGAAAATCATCCTTGATTGAGTGTAGTTTTCTTCCCCCAAATAAGACTAATAAGTCCTAAAGTGATAAATTCGTCTTTGTTCAAAACAAACATTCTGTCAAGAAGCATATTCCACAGCTTCTCTCAACACTTCTTTCTAGATCTAGAGAAGCTATGAAAACTGCATTTTAAGACAGGTGTAGGTAAACTATATGTGAAAGGTACTAGGTTGACAACCGCCATTTGCCTTTTTCATAACTTGGAAAAAGATTTCTAAATTGTCTATTCTTTCGTCTAGATGAATCATCACAACTTCTTTGAACTTTTGCATCAAAATAATCTCCATATCAAAATAATCTCTGTATCAAAGTAATCCATGAAGCCAATCAGATACTAATCTTTATCACTGAAAATACTCTTACTGAGAATAAAAGGAATTCTATAAAAATACATTCTTTAAAAGGTATCTTATACTATAGTGAAAACAGAAGATGGAATTTGAAATCAGACTTACCTTAGTTTCAATCTTGCAATACCTGTGGCTTCACTGAATCTCAGTTTTTCTTGTATGTAAGACAACATTCTTTGGTGCTATGGGAACACAAAAGTAAGACAAGAACTACAAAACTATAAAAAAAAAAAAAACTTTTATAGCAGGTACACAATAAAAGTTCCTCGCCCTTTAATGAAGTGAAGGTTAACTGTAACTTAGGTAACAGCGCTAGGCACACATCCAATTTGAACTATTACTTAGGATTCTATTTGATTGTTCCATGCATCCATAGACTTTGTTATAGTTTAAAATGCCAATAAAGAAAACAGGCAGATACTGTCAAATGTTTTATAATTCCATCTTCCAGAATTCACTACAGCAATAAAAACCAATATTAGCATTCTGAATTTTCAGATGAGAAACTGAGTCTCAGAGGGAAAAAGTGACTAACCCAAGGTCACACAATCATGAAGGGTGGAACTGGGGGTTTAAACGTAGTTGTGTTCACCCTCATGCCCTTATTTACCTTTGCTTCTCTGTTGAGAATTTCTAAGAATATATATACACAAACACATATCTATAAATGTATATCTCTATCTCTCTATATCTATATATACACATATAAACAATGACAGCTTCCCTTGGAAGATAGTTTACTGATGATCTTCTCCCTTTGTGTGTCTTTTATTTCACAAGTTTTCTAAAATGGATGTATATTATTTTTCTTAACAACAGGGGAAAAGTTGTTTTAAATGCCAAAAACATAACTGTTGGCCTGAAGCAACTTAACCTTATTTGGTGGATTCACAAAATTTTAACTAATAGGACTGCAAGTTTGATATCTTTACTCCTTTGTTCTGTTGGACTAAATGCGGTTCAAGGAATTACTCTGGGACAAGCACTCTTTTGGGGTGCTATGTCAGATGTGGAAAGAAATAAGACAAGCCCCTAACTACAAGAAATTAAATTTTAGTCAGACAAGTGAAACTCAATTGCAAGGCAAGCTCTCAACTAAGTAATACAATAGAAAAATTAGCCAAAGGATCCATTAGTTGAGGAGAGAAAGGTATGTCATAAAAGAACTGGGTATTTGAACTGGGGATAAAGATTTGCTATGACTGAGACAGGGAAAATGCTTTCCAGCAATGAGGGGTTATGAGACAAAGATACTGGAGCAGAGAATATCATAAAGTTGAGGAATGACAAGGGCTCTAGGGCCAGAGCTAATTGTATGGGGAATATAAAAATAAAATTTATTATTAAAAAAAAAAAAACTCAATAAATAAATAAATAAATAAATAAAAGTTTCCATATGCAAAAAAAAAAAAAAAGTTAATAGGAGCTGAGGCTGCAAATTCGAAACTCAGCCAGACCTGCAGAACCGTGAATGCTGTGCTGAGTGAGATAAATGTCATTGTGAAGCAACAGGAAGGCACTGAATGTTTGGGAAGAAATTAAAAACTTGAGTTGAATTTCTATGCATTGTTCATTCTCTAGAGTCCACTTTGTAAGAGTGGTCAATTTTATCAAAGTTCAAATCTTCTATAATATGAATTAATGACTTAAAATACAAGTAAAGCTGAGAAAATTTTACCACTCTGAATTTTATTTTCAAACATATATATATGGGCTGATATAGATAGTAAGCTTTTTTATGTTTATTAATAAAAATTAGTGTATGGCAACTGTTTTGATATTTATACTTTCAACAAAATGCTTACATTATCCTGGGTTATTATTTCTCATTTGGTATTCTTATCTATCAGTGTCCTCTTTATTGAGACAACATAGAGGGTGTGGCTCTGTGAAGAACACTGGCTGTAATACTTGAACAAGATCTTGCACAGGTTACCTATCAGCATTGACTTATAGTAGAAAACACATACACATATATACTAGATCTTAAGCAAACCTGACAGCTACTGTCCACATTTTGCAAATAAGACCAAGATCTGTTAGGATGTCCAGAAATATTTAAAAAAGAAATTGCTAGGTGCACTTATCTGAAAATTCAAACTTAACTTGACAACCTGTATTTCATATGGGAAAAGGTCAGAGGGGGTGGAGACCCATAGTTTTTAGTTCCATTCTCAGCCCACATCAATGCCATTCAAGGTCAGT